CCCCCCAGGTCTTCAGCACACACTTGATCTCCCTCTCTGGATCTAAAGTCTCCAGCTGATCCATCGCTCCACGTCATCATCTCTGGCTCCATTTCAGGCATCACTGCTTCTCTGGGTAGGGTCCCGCTCTCTGCTCTTCTCCCTTGATGGTCCCAGGGACCTCTTGACAGCACTTTTTAAAGTTTTTATTGTGAAGTGAGTGATAGTTTACATGGGAGAACATTGACTTTACACCATCATTTCATTGCAATAATTACACTCTCTTCTACACATCATCATTTAACAGTGTTTGCTTCCATTCCCTGTTTTTGTTGTTTTTTTTTTTTGCCGGGGGAGGGGGGGGAAACGGGAGAAGATGCACACAGAAACACTTAGGAATATATAATCATTTAAACAACTAAAGGGCCCATTCTGCAAGTCTGCCTCCTGGCCATCAGCACCCAGTCTCTCCTTCCATGAGTCCAGAGTCCTCAGCTGCTCCCTCGCTCCATGTCCTCCTGTCTGTGGAAGGATTCTTTTGAACTGACAGAACATCACTAAACGGAAGGCAGATATTGCTGCTTTCCCAGGAGCAGCTGTGGTCCTAGTGGAACTCCCACTGATGAGACTAAAATACTGAGCTAATTGGAGCCCGCAGGGGTAGGAATTTTTGATCTGCGTTCCTTGGAAAACTGGAAACAGGCAAAGGGTAGAGCCTTTTATGGTAGTGGGACCAGTCAATCTGCTTTTGCATGAACAACTGAAAGAACAGAGGCCCCCCTTTCTGTAATCCATGTAATCAACAAAATAGCTACCCTAGCAAGACAGCTTGAATGCTGCACTGCAGAGTCAGGGCTTTTCTGCTTTGTTTGTTAAGGCAGGTCAGAAAGTATGACTCGTATATGAAAACTAAGAGATGATAATGTGCACAGTGAAATGGAAGGGGAAGGAAAAGTAAAGCAACAAATAAGCTCTGCCACTTCTTACGGGTTTCAGCAAGTTCCTCAACCTTTCACATCCCCTTTGTGCCCTATAGTATATGGAATCAAACTGACACCACCAACTCAAAAGGTCAGTGAGCTTAGTGGGGACAGTGAGTTAACAGGGGAAAAAGAATTGGAAAAGGTTGCACAGCTTGGATAATGCAATCAATGTCACTGAATTATACATGTAGAAATTGTTGGAGATGTATGTTTTGCTGTATACATAACAAAAACATCCAAAAGGATAAAGGATTATAGCCTAGAGTTCTACTCAGTCAGTTGAGGTCACTGTGAATCAAACACTGACCCAATAGCCCCTAATAACCATATATACATAAACACACACATAGCCACATCTCCGTTTTTGTCAGCTTGATCTATCACAGTTGCTACGTGAAATCTCCAACCACAAAAAACAAATGCATCTCTGTGTTTGGAGGATTTTGAAGTAAGTGCCCGATAAGAAAGAAGGTGGAATTTTGAGTATTTCAAGAGATCTTTCTGTTCTTCCCCTTTCTTAACCATTTATCTTAATGGATTCTCACTAACACCTTTCCTTACATGCTCAAAATGAACTTTCTAATTAATTACTAAAGCTTTCTGCCTTAGCTGCCCTCTGTTCATGTTAACTTTGTGGGCGTCTCATTCACAACTTCTGGATTCCGTGATCATTTCTAGCCAGGCAATTTCTAGATCAACCTCCAAACCTGATCTCCAAGTTTCCAACAAGGTAGTGATAGTCCATCATTATAAACTTAACATATCCCAAACAAAACACATCTTTACTCTAAAAGCAAGTTTCCTGAAGTAAGAAATTTCATCACTAACTTTGATTTCTCTACTGCAGAGAATTTTTTTCTTTACAGTATCACCTAAAATAGTTCAGTGTTCTTGTTCCTTTGCCACAACTTGAGTGTAGACCCTTGACATGGCTCACCTCCGGTCAAGGTGAATCTAGGTTCTAATTTAATCTATGTTTGATCTAATCTATGTTCTGTGCAATCTCTTTCAAATTTCTGATTTAAATAGATATAAAGTTCTGACATGGAGTCCTATTGTGATGCTGTGGGTTAATGCGCCCGACTGCAAAGCCATTTGAACTGCAAGGTTCGTGATTCAAGCTCACCAGCTGCTCTAAGAAACCCTATACAGGGTCCCTAGGGGTCGGAACCGACTCTATGGCACTTGACAACAACAACAAAGTTCTGACATATCTCCTTCAAGCCAACTACAGCAAAAACTATCTTCCTTTTCTCCTAAATATCTGGTGTTATCCCATACTGTTCCTCCTACCTACAAATATCTTTAACTGTCCTCTGCTTATCAAAATCCCCATCATTCAAAGACGGGAAAAACCTATACTTATGCCTTCAAATGCCTCCCCAACCTGGGGCTCCCATGACATTAACCTGGACACCATTCACTTGACATTCACAAAAATGCACCATTCGGTTAGCTCTCCTTTGACCTGTGTGTGTCTTTCCAGTTATATTAGCTCCCTGAGGTAAAAACCATGTCTCTTCCATGTTCTACCTTAAGTTTCTCTCTGGCTCAGGCACGTTGATTGAACTCTGCATTCCCTTTAGTTCTCAAGGACTGGCTGAAGCACTGTAAAAACCAACACCATCAAGGTGAGTCTGACATAGCAACCCTGAAGGACAGAGCAGAACTCCCCATAGGGTTTCCAAGGCTGTTAGTCTTTGGGGTAGTGGACTCTTCTTTCTCCCATGGAACTGCTGCTGGGTTTGAACAACCAACTCTTTCTGGTTAGCAGCTGAGCACTTACCCACTAACCAGGGCTAGTCTAGTGAAAAACATTTTTTCTTACAGGAGCTTGTCCATTAGGGAGAGATTTCTTGGCTGTAGAGGCATCCCATGAACCAAGAGACCATTCACATTTGGCTGCTGATTGCTTGTTGCTTGACAGAGACTCATCTATGTGTGAAAAGAAGATGTTACTTATTATTGGTTGGTGAAGATACCTACTTGGTTCCCCAACTTTGCCCAAAGTCCATAATTCCAGTTTAGGTCATTTATACATTCTTTAGGAATCGGGCTGTGAACCACAAGGTCAGTCATTCGAAACTACCAGCTGTTCCAAGGAGAAAGACGAGGCTTTCTGCTCCTGTAAAGATTTACAGCCTTGGAAACCCTGTACAGGGTCGCTATTAGTTGGAACCGACTCCACAGCACATAACAACAATTGTGCCTTTTGTAACGCCCTGGCCAGTAGCCCTAGCTGGGGCGCCAAGTTCACAGCTGAATGGTAAAGTCATGAGTTCTTTCTTTCCTCTCCAGTCCTAAATGATAGTAGCTGGAGGACGCCTGGTCAACCTATATGAAAGCAAGTATCAGCCATTTCCAAAGGGGAGAAGGAGCCTTTATTATTACTATTTGCATGTCATTAGGAAAGAAAACCTAAAAAGAAAAATCACAAATACAGAACAAAAATAGGGGAAAAAAACAAAACAGGTAAATTCTAACTAATTTCCTCTTATGCTCATCACACATTCCTGTATTTTACACCAATAACTCCTGGAGTAGTGAGTTCTTAATGAGAATCTATCACCTGAAGACTGTTTGTTAGAGAGTGCTCATCTTACCTGCACAGATTTTAGAATTTAAGCTTATTTACACTGATGCCACTCCAGATCTCTGCTTGTTCTCTCTCTCAGGTCACTGGCTCCATGCTCTTTTTGGCTATTTCTTCTATCTCCATAGAATATATCTTCCTCCCACTTTCTCTCAAATATTTGGATTAACCCTTCTTTGTCCATTAACAACCAGACTGTCCAAGTTAACTGTCTAGGCCTTGGGCCATCTGGATCACAGTCCAAAAAACCCACACATCACAACTCACAGTGACCTTATAGGACAGTAATCGTAATTGAAGCCGACTGTGACATCTTTATGCCTTGGAGCAGCTGGGAATTCAAACCATTGACATTTTGGTTACTAGCCAAGGGCTTAACTATAATACCACCAGGGCTCCTGGAACCACAACCAGGCTAATCCTACATGCAGAAGTCTTTTACCATCACTAAAGAAGCCTAATTTGTCTCCTAATAATTTATAGGCCTTACAGGTTTTATTTGTAAGTAGCCCTATTGTGAATACAGCTGCATACTATCCAGCCAATCTCCCAACAAGGCTAATGAGTAGATCTACTTGTACAATCAGGGGTTGACAAGCATGGTCAAAGGATACAAGTCATCCTTTCTCTTTCTCTCCATTCTTGTCTTCCATGACCCTTCACACTCTCAAAAGTAAGACTAAGGAACTACATGCAGGAAGTGGCGGCGGCAGTGTAGGACTACATAAATCATTATATAGGATGAGACCAGGCTCATCACCTCCGGAAAGAAACGAGCATCCTTAAGCTTGTCCACAGACTTACTTGAAACTGTTTTCTCCTCACTTTTGGTTGCCTTCTAAACCTGGGTTATGAGTACTAAACATCCAAAATTTAACAAAGGCAAAAATAAAAAGATCAAAGGTCAAGATAAAAACGAAGGTAAGGAGTCAAAGACATTCATACAACTGAATGTTAAGGTCATAGTAAATCTGAGATCAGTACCACTTTCAATTAAAAGAGTATCCTCAATTGTTCCCCCAAACTGAAACATGCAGACCGCATAGTTTACAATGACTCTTCAAAGAGCAGAATGTAAATTCTTAACCAATTCTAATTTGTAAAATTCAGTTACTTTTTCACTGAAATTAATCTGATCAGTGTAGAGTCACTGGATTATTGTGATAAACCCCTGACCAGAAATGAACTAAAACCAGAACACAACACATTTATTTAAAAAAAGTGGAATCATATACAATAACACAATTAAGACAAATTTACCGGATTTGAGGTGATAGACAGGACCTTAGACTGTGGCACTCGAGGTAACACCAAAGGATGGGGTTCACTATGCATACAGTTGCTTCCTGAATCTGGTCTGGTGATTGCAGGATTACTCTCATCATCTGGGCAAAGGAATAGAATCTGTTAACTCCTCGATAGCTTCAGATCCATAGCAATAGTGCAGGTATACCTCAGGAATACTGTGGGCGAGATTCCAGACCACCTCAAAAAAGGGAGTCACATAAAATTTTTTGGCTTCCTAATACGGTTCTGGTATGGTGCTGTAGGATCAGCACTGGACTGCTATCCACAAGATCGGCAGTTCAAACCCACCTTGGAAACCCTATATAGGGTCTCTATGAGTGAGTCAGAACCGACTTTATGGCACTTAACAGCAATATAAATAAGTTATGTTTACCATAGCCTTTTTTTTTTTTAATTTAAGGTTTTTATTGTGGATTGAGTGAAAGTTTACAGGGCACATCATCAGTTTCACATTCAACAATTCATATAACTTGTTTAATT